AAATGTTTAGTTTCCAGCTGATTCTTTGTGTTATTTCATAGGTATTCAGAGTTTGGACTGCATGTCCAACAAAAACAATCAATCTGAATACGTTCAAGAAAGTTATATGAGGGATTATTCTGTTTTTTTATGCTTTCACATTAAAGATTAGCCAATGAGGAAATTCTCAGCAGGTACATTTTTAAGCTTTAATATTCCAGCTGTAATATTAGACTTCGCTGCAGATTCATTATTGTGTTCAAAGTCCTGGACAAACACAGACTGACCCACACAAAAGAGAAATTTTACATATAAAGCTCGACTCTTTTATTTTGAAAACCAAAGTCATCTTTTTCCTGTTGTGTTCTGCCTCTGCTTCGGTACACTGAGGAAAACTTGAGACCCTCCTAGCGTTTAATCTCCTCACTTCACAGAAACAGTGAAGGATTTAAAAGTCAAAGCCGTTTTTTGTGTTTGATCTTGTTATGAACTTCATCATCACTCCAGCATTTATTCTTCACTCATACTTCACTTTCATCTTTCCTTCACCTGCTCCACGTTTATATCTGACACTGAAAATAGGAGGAGCTAAACAAGCCTGAAAATATTTATATAACTAATTAGAAAAAAAGTAAAATAAAAAAATGAAGCACCAAAAGCTGCAGTTCCTCTGACGCCCAGCAGAGGCAGCAGTGAGTCAGTTCCCATAGACTCCCATGTTAAAAGTTTACAGCAGAAATAAACACGTTATTCTCTGTAGATCATTAAAAATGATGACGTATTTATAACTCACCTGTTTAAATTGTATCAAAGTTTGTGTTATTAGGGGCGTGGCCTCTATGACTGGCAGGTGGATGGCGGCACAGGCGGATGTAGCTGCCAGCTGTTTGCTAACTTTACCTGAACTGGACCACTGGACCACGAGCAGGAGCCTTTTGGAGCATCTTTAATGATCTGACCAATAATATGGCTCTTTGAGGTTACTATAGTAATGCATAGTACAGTATGGCAGAAACCAACGTTTGCCTTCTTTATAGTTTTGCTCTGTGTGACAGAAATATTCTGTGTCTGCAGGATCCTGCAGTTCAGATGATTTCTGTAATCTCATAAAGGCATTAGCGTCTTTGTAAAGAGAAAAGATAAGATAAAGTTTTCTTAGTCCCATACGTGGGAAATTCTTTTGTCGCAGCAGAAAATGGACAGTACAAGTTAAGTGCATCAAAAATTAAGACAAAAGCAATGGAAAAGGATCAGATAAAATAGAATACGATAGACAGTAGAATAACATACTATACAAAATAGAATAAAATAGGGTAAAACAAAGAAAAACCTGAATGTGAAAGTTTCTGTTTCTCTTTAGGAAACACTAAAGCATAAACCAGTGAGAAGGTTTTAGGTCCCCACAAAAACCAGACCAGGAGCAGAGCCGCTTCTGCACCTCCCTCAGCTGTCTGCGCTCCTCTACAGCATGAGGATCCTCTGACGATAGCTCCTCCCACAGCTGGCCCTTCTTTCGGCGGGTCGTGGTTGGCGTAGAAGTTCAGAGGCCTCCAGACAGAGTCGTAGTAATGATCGGAGAATGAGGCAT